GCCAAAGGTGTTCTGCCCAGCTCTTAGCATTCCAGGCTGCAAATCAGGTCTGGATGGATGTCTTCCTGTTTACAGGGAACTGGCAGGGGTCATGCCAGACCAAGGAACTTACGCAAGGCAGGGACGGTGTCTGTCTCCCAAGAGTGTGCTGTCTACATTTGGCAGAGGCTGAGGGTACAAAAAGGAAAGCCAAGAGTAAGAGGAGATGAATGAGTGAGCAAATGCAGATGCATGAATTCCAGGCCGGCTGACACAGGGGACGCCAATTCTGGAGAGCCATGTCATCGTCACTTCCCAATTAGTGTGACGCCGAAGATCCAATTCACGGAAATAGCAGATGTGGCAGCAGAACTGTTCCTTCAGGCTGCTGGTGGGAGATGGCTTGGTTTGTTTCTTTGTTCCTCACTGGCCCTTCTGTCGGGGACACCTAAAAATGGCACTGAAGGCGGCTGGCAACACAGTCCAGATTAAAACAGCATCATAATTAAAACTTAGCACAAAAACAAATAAATACAGAACTACAGAAATAAGCCTTGTACCGGCCAATTAAGAAAACCCTGTGAGCAGCAGAACCGGGAGCTTGGCAAAGGCCTTCCTGGACCGCAGAGAGAGGGGGCTGTCCTGGCCTCCCTTGCCAGGGAGTGCTTTCCTGTCGCAGGTTTCTTGGGCAGTACTGAGAGAAGGGTCTTCCTGGAAGACCTGAAAACCCAGGGAGGCCTGCTAGAGAGAAAGCGGTTATTTTGGCAGCTTGGCAATTTGTTGTTTTCCAAAAAATACAAACCTTGGCTACTCTAGAAATCTTCTCCCTGCCGTGTAGGTTCTTGGTCAGTCATTGTCATTCTCTCTCTCTCACAAACCTGCAGTTTGCAGTGGAACAGTCCAGGAAGAAGCGTGGCTACTCTTTCTGTGAACCGGCTTTAGTCTTCACCCTAACTGGAAGGGAGGGCTATTCATCTACGGGGAAAGTTTTGTGGGAAAATTGGGCTCTGGGGATGAGTGTGAAAGAAAAACGAAATGATTTGGAAGCATTCTGAGGAAGAATACTTTCTAGGTATATGGGGCAGTGAAGGCTGAGTTGCTTTAGAGGACAGGAAGAGATACATGGATTGTGTTTCTAGATTAACGAAAGTCCCTCCATGCTTGGGTTTTGGGTGTAATGCCTGTTTTAGCCCTCATTTGCCACTGTGCTTAATATGTCAGGCAAGCAATTCTTGCAAGCTTATTATGCAAAATTATGTTTTGAGCGGCTGTGTAATACAGTCCATTGTCCTTCAAAAATCCACGCAGTGTAGCTACTCAACCAGTAATTGTGTGGCTGTGCAGCGTCCCTGTTTACCAGGCACAGTCTTTGTTTTCCAGCACTTTCCTCTGGCCAAACACTATCCTTTCCTTGGCTTTGGGGGAAGTAAATCCATGGGGTTCAAGGGGACTTCCTCCCGCTCAAGCGTGCATCACAGCGCAGCTGATCGCACGATAAACCCACCAAAGGCTGCAGTGCTCTGCACACTTACTTCCAAGTAAGACCAGGCACCTGACAAGTAGTCATTCTGCTAATCATGAAGTACCCTTCTGTTCTGAATAACAAACTTATGGCTTGTTTTACTGACCCTCTGAGAAACGGAGTGGAGTTGACTGCAAGATCCTTGTGTGAGAACGGGGGTGAAAAAGGTGAGCAGCTGTCCCTACTCTCACCTATCAGGTGCTGGAGCAGCAGGATGTACCTGCTGGATGGAGCGATAACCACCTCCCCACCCACGCTTTTGTTCCAGTTATACTGGGGCATCTCCTCTGTATGGACAGAGCTGGACATGAAAGCTATGGGGGTCTCTACATTTAAGGCACTGCTTTGAAAATGCCCACAGCAGGCATGGAGGGGGAATACAGCCATTTCCTCTTCTGCTGCAGTTGTGAGGGAAATGCCTTCTTGGATGCTGCTCTTCACACTGGGACTCCCTCCTTGGCTCCCCGGGGGACTGCAGTTAGCAGCTTTTGAGGAGGGATTTTTCTCAGGACCATGCCAGGGCAGGAAGGGGTTAAATCCTATATTCTCCTCCCCGCCCCTCTCCTGCAGCTGCTTTGATCCCATTAGCTTTCCCCAGGTGGCTGGCATATTGCCCAGCCCTCCTGTATGTTACAAGCCAGCAAGCATTTCATGCCATGTTCAGCCTGACCTGGGACCTGCTCTCTGAACTGAAGCTGCCCAGTTACAGGTTTAACCAGGATGGGACCTCTTGGGCAGACAGGAGGTCCCATCCTGGCAGTCTTTCTCAGCGTTCCTTCTCCTTTTTGTCCATACAAGTGAATGGCTACTCTTCGGTCTTATGGGGAATGTGCTTGCATGGCCTGGCAATGTTAATCCATGTCTGAAATTGTGTGTAGAATACCCAGGATGGTGGAACCAAAGCTGGAAATGTATAATAGTTCACAGGTGTGTCCTGTCCTTCCACCAAAGAGCTCAAGATAAACTGGGATATCTCAGTTTGTCTTTGCTTGTAAACTTTCCAGCAAATCCCATCGCAGTCATGGCTCACTTGACTGTACTAGGCCAGCCACTCTTCATGGAGTAAGTGGACAGCCTTCATCTACCATATGGGAATGGCCATAACGGTCTACCTTGCAGGGTTGCTGTACTGGATGCTGAGGGATGCATATGAGATGAGCGGAGCTCTGGAAATGTGCTGGAAAGATATTTCTTTGGGTGATTATTCCTCACCCACAAGTATTTACTACCTGCGCTTCCACCAGCGTAGCCATTTGTATCTGGGAACTGGGAAGGCAAAAGCTTCCAGAGGAAATGGGGGTTTGGGGCAAAAGGAAGCCCCAGTAAGTCTTATCTAAGACACTGAGCCTTCATTGGCTTGTGTGGTCTTTTAAATGTTATATAACCAGCTTTTCCAATTAGCCTCTTCAAGGGAGTTTGCAGCTTTCCTAAAAGCACTGATGATCATATTAACACTTCAGCTGAAACAGGTTCTGAGCTGATGACAGGGACTCTCCACTGCCAACCAGCCCCCTTTCCAAGCTTGTTTCATCCCAGGTTGGTCAGGGCCAGCAGGCGTGGCAGAGTGTGCTAGACATATGGTGGCCACTGTAAGAGGAAGCTTCCGGTGCCAAGCCAGGCAGACTCCTGGCAGAACTGCACAGAGACCTGGGTTTTCCCTTCTGCGGTCCCTTGTGTGTGCAGATACCTGTGTGTGGCGGTTCTCAGCTGCCTTTTGCAGCTGAAGGTACTCCAGGAGAAACACAGCCTTTAAAGACGCAAAGCAAAAGTCTGCTGAATCGGAGTATGCGCCCAAAGTTGAAATGACAAGAGGCAGACGGTCCGGAAGTCATCTGCCACTGAAAGTCCCTGGTTTGTCAGCCGCCAGCCAGGCCAGATTTTGCTGCTGTCCAAACTGATCTGGCAAATGTTTGTTTCTGAGGAGTGCAATTGCAGCCTTCCTCCAAGATGTTTTATCAGAGAGAAGCATCCTTCTGGAGTCAGAAAAGTGGGGTTGTGACCAGACAGGGCCAGTGTGGGGACTTGGAAAGGCTTTTTGCCTGTAAGTGTTGACCTGTTGGTTTCAGGAGTGGCTCCCTCCATCCCATGCCAGCTCTTGGCTCTGCTCAACCACCTGAGGAAGACAGAGTTTGTTTCCAGGGAGAGGGAGTCAGAAGGACTGAGAACCCAACAGGTCGGCGGGCACACTTCTGGATCACATATTGGCAACGGCAGCTCAGGGCAAGATGGGCTCTTGGGTGCTCCAGAACATGATCTGGGGGTGTTCCAAAGCTGATCGAATCCCAAGTCTTAACCCAGGCCTGATCCACATTTCTGCTTTCGTGAGGAAAGTAGGAAATGCGGATCCAAACCTGGGAATGAATCCCAGCCTCTCCACAGGGCCAGTGACAAAAAAGCCCTCTAGCAGGCTGCGGCTGAGAGGTTTGCTGCCCAGCATCTTACGTTGCATCCAGGACTCCAGGGCGATGTCTTTGTTCTTCGTAGACCCCACCCCTCCTTCCTGAATCTCCCTTGGAAAACTAGTCTGGTTGCTCAAGACAGACGTGTGTGAGTGTGCGCACGCGTGTGTGCGAGGGCGGGGGGTGCAGAGGCTTGGTCAAAGCCATTGTTGGCGCACGCATGCACACACGTGCCCAGCGTAATCGTATCTTGTGAAAGGTACGTGTGGGGAAGGGATGCGCCTTCCTCCCGTCCTTGGGCGGGGTGGAAGGCTCGCAGGTGTCTCCTCATGAGGAGGAAGATGGAGCCGGTTGCGAGGAAGTTAAACACTTCGCTCTCGAACTAGACCGGAGTGGGCTGCAACCTGTTTCTCCACCTCTTTCGCATGCGCGCTCACCCAATGGCAGTTTTTCGCCCTTCCTGATGGGCAGATGGAGAGACAGGCTGGGACTGCAGCCCCTTTCCTGTCGGATGGTGGCAACCGCCTCGGGTGCCTTTAGATGGGAGCCTTTGTGGGGGTCCAGAGAAGGCGGTGGCGTGGGGGAGACCCCTAATTATGATTATGAATTTGGTTCTTGCCTCCAAACAAAGCCAGGAGGAGGAGGAGGAGGAAGCAGGGGGGAGGCGAGGCGAACGCGTCTGATTTAAAGCCCAACCTCGGTGCGGAGAGCTCCACGTAAAAGGGGGCAGAATCCGGGCTCCCCCTCCCCAGGCTGCCTCCTTTTAGGAGAAAACTGACTGTTCGGAAAATTTCGCCATGCCTTTCGCTCGCTCGCTCGGCTGATCCGTTGGTGGGCTCGGTCCATGACCACTGCTCCTGTTTTGGACAATGCCGTACGTTTTGCGCGGAGAAGCTCGCCCATCCGGCTGCTAAGCGCTGCTTCCACAGGGAGGAACGGAGAGTCGGCTTGGGAAGCGTCGCCGCGAGAGAGAGAGAGAGAGGCGAGGGGGGCTCTCCTGGGAACGCCGCCCCCGCGCCCCTGCACACACACCTCGACTGCTGCTCGCTCCGTGGCGGAGCGGGGCTCCGCTGGATCACCTCTCTCTCTTTTCCTTCCAGGATGGCTCGCTTTGGCGAGGCGATGGCAGGCAGGCTGGGATCCAGCGACGCAGCCCCCGAGCAGAACCGGGCCCGCCAGGGCGCCGCTGCCCCTTCGGGGGGAACCCCGGGAGCGTACAAGCAGACCAAAGCCCAGAGGGCCAGGACGATGGCCCTGTACAACCCCATCCCTGTCCGCCAGAACTGCTTCACAGTCAACAGATCCCTCTTCATCTTTGGGGAGGATAACATTGTCAGGAAATACGCCAAGAAGCTGATCGACTGGCCATATCCTTTCTGCTCGTCCCTCCGTGCCCCTTTCCGGCTGCTGGTGACATGCTTGGTCACGAATGGTCCTGCCGGGACCAGCCAAGCGGGCAAAGGTAAGCGCTGTCCCCCCTTCCGTTCTGCGGCTGGGCCACATGGGGAGAGCACCGCCGAGCGCAGGCTGCCCCCTCTCTGTTCCCCGCCATCTGTCTAGCCTTGCTTTGCAGTCTTCCCACTGTCTTAGCGGTCATCTCTTCACTTGGCCCCCGCGCCTCGCATCGGCTGGGCTGCAGTGAGCAGGCAGGCTCGGCCCTTTCCTTTCCAGGTGGCCAAAGCCCCGCTTGTTGGCTGAGCGGCTCTGGACTAGAATGCAACAGATCGGGCCAACTCTGGAGAAGACAAGTTCTCCAGCAGCTGAGGGCATGCTCAGCTGGGGGAGGGACGGCCGAGCAAAGGGGAACTTGGTCCCCGCCTAACCAGTCGTCCGTCCAAAAGCCAAGCTCCCCGCAGCCTCGGAACTCCCGTCATTAATTTGGAACAATTTCCTAGGGCTTGCCCTTATTACCTGCTCCAGTAAATGCCCTAACAACATATCGACACATTACAGGTCCTTTGGCAGCAAACACAACATAAAGGGGCCACTGCAGTGCTTTCCACTGGATCTGCTTTGGTGCTGTGCAAAAGCATACAAGCTTTCAGATCACACAGAACTATTCAGCTGGTGAGGGAAGGCATCCTTTTATATCAGTGGAAGTTGGTCTAGTTGGAAGGATCGCTTTGTATTTCACTAAAATCGAGATGTGGGCAGAACACATTTTGGATTCTTTCTGCATAAACAGCTCCTTTATGCTTACATTTTGGGCAGCAAACTAGAACCCTGTTCTTTTCTTCCTTGCTGGGGAAAAAACCATCCCTTTCTCCTTTACACACAACATTCCTTTTTAGGCTGCCTATGAATGCAGTGTTCACACCAACATGCCATGCTTGCCTTGTAGAGAAGCTCCGTTGCCATCCTGGCTTCCAGGTGATAAACAAGATCAAGTGTGTGTGCCATGCTGCTGGTGCGGCAATCCTTTCCAACCTAGCTCCCTCCAGGTGTGTTGGACTACAAGTCCTACCTGTCCCATCCAGCATGGCCAGTGAGCTAACTGGTTGGTGGCAGCTGGAGTTGTAGTCCAAGACACCTGAGGGAAGGCAGAAGCAAGACAATTCCACTCCCTATAACCTGGAGAAAGAGGCCAGGTTTTCTTTCGCTACTGAAAGACTGCGAGGAATTGGAAAACAGGACCCCCAAGATCGGAATCCAAGGAAGGCACCTGTGAATTAATCAGGCTGTGGCAGCACGCACTGCCCAGGTGATGGACAGCATCGCCATTAGCTGATTTGTCACCCCATACTCATCAAGGCCCACCCCCCTTTTTGGGGGGGAATCTGAGGTACAAGGGCACAAATGCATAGGGCAGTTGTCCTTAACAGCCTCCAGCTCGCCCACACCCACAAGTTCTCCCTGCTTTTGTGCTGCTGTTTTCCTGTTTTGGCAATCCTGATCAACAGGGACCACCTGGGCTGCTACAGGGGAGGGGGGCCCCCTGAGCTGCCCAAGAGGGGCTGGGCCTAGCTCAGCTCTCCAAGGACTGCTCTTTATCCAGTACCATGGACAGCTCCTGGGCATCTCTTCATGCTCCGGATTCTTTAGCCAATTCCACTGGATGCTTTGGCCCTTGCTTAGCTGCTCTCCTTTCACAGTGTCACCCTCCTTTTTGTACACATGGGTGGGGGGGGGGGATTAAAAGGCCGGGTCTCTTCCCACATTGCGAAAGTGCATTTATGTGCGGTGTGGGATTTCTGATTTGGCTTACTGATGATGCACCGAGAGCTGAGAAGTGACTGAATGACATTCCAGATAAGAACGGCTAGAGTAAGGGTGTGTGTCTGGTGTCAGGGCTCTGTGCGGCCCCCTGGAGCCACACGCCTGTGCTGGCCCCTTGGCTCAGGAAGTTCTCTTTCTGTTTTTCTAAGGGAAGGGGGCCGGCGCCCAGGAAGGACTTGCTGCGGTGTGCCTCTATCCACGGTGCCAACAGAGGTGCATTGCACACCTCTGGCAATAGGGACTGGACCACCCGGTGTCCATGGTGGGAAACAGGTTGCACCTCTGCCACAACGGTTTCCCAAGCGCGGGTCTTGATTTCTCCTTCGGGAGTGACTAGCAGGCACACTCGCAAAGGAGAGAGCAAAAGAGGTGCAGTTGAAGCATGACTGGGATGGGGGCCCTGGCAGTATTTGGAGCAAGGGCTGGCTTGATCGCCCTGCTCTGTGGTTCACTGTTTCCTTTCCGTCAGAGATCTCAAAGGGGCCTTCAGCCCTTTCGCCGTAAGGAGCGCCTTCGCCTTCATAGCCCCACCCAGAGCCCTGTCTCTTGGTTCTGCTGAAGTGCGACACCCAAATGTGCAGAAATTCAGAAACTGACATTTTCAGAAGTGCTGAGAGATGCTCATTTGTTCTCACGAGAATGACATACCTTCTCATTTTGCCCACACAGTTTTCTGGCATCAGCTTCTCTTAGCCACTTTCTCATGACCTGAAAACAGAACACCCAAGAATTTCCTGATTCATTATTGGGAAAGAGTGGGAATACGTTGTTCTACAGAGTGCTTTAAGGTTCAGGTGACCCTTTTTAACCTATCCGTCCAATAATACGTAGGCACCACAAAGCCCATGTGGCAAGATTAGGAGAAACAAGGCTGAAGCAGGAGTTGCATCTTGGAGCAACTGCAGAGCCTTGCTGGAGGGACTTCATATTTTCAGAACGTGGTTGGTAGAACATGCCTTCTCATGCTCTACACGCCTTATCAGGAGAAGTGCAAGAAAAGTCAGTATAGCGGCATTGAGTATCTGGGGACTGCATCTGCTCCGGAGGCAGCGGGTGCACCACCATCTCAGCCCATCCCCAGACCTCTTGATCTGGGAGTTATCCAAATGAGTTACCTGGCGATTGTGTGACCAAGGTCTTGGGGCCCTCTTTGGCCAACAGATTGTGCTCCCATAACTGGCTGGCAACATGAAAGCTGGATTGGCCAGTCCTGCTGTGAGTGCTAGGATCCTGGCCATCTGTTTTTGCCTAGTGCTTAAGACACTTCAGCCTGCTTAAGACAGTGCTTAGCTGTCTCCCGGTTCAGCTTCACATTCTCACCCACCTTTGAACTCTTGTTCAGAGCATCCGGCTGCCTGGCTTCAGGTGTGGTCACCCACAGCCACATTGTGGCCCCGACCAATGGCGATGTAGCCCTTGATCCACAGCTGTGGTAGCCAGCGAAGTTTTCGAACCCTAATGGAACTTGATCTGCTTTTCCATGGGATTGTTCCGTGACCCGTAAAATACTCCAGTGACCCCTGCAGAGCTTCTCTCTCCCTGTATCTATCGCACTGCCGGTGCATTCATGCAGCCCACCTGGGAACAGCGTGGCCACTCCCGTCCATTCCTTGGAAGAACGATAGGATCCGACAAGTTAGAGTGCTGTCAATGTATTTGTTTGCTAAGCTTTGCCTGCCGATGCAGCAACACTGGCCTTTATGTGAGAACACAGCAGCCCAGGAAAAGATGCAGAACACCATGTCCTTGATGGGCAGGCAGCATATTAAAGAACCGTGGTAGGGGGCAGCTGAATATGTCTGGAATGGCCAAGCGGCAGCCCACACCACCGCTTTGGCTAGCCCTCACCCCCTCTCTGTGTGGCCTCCAAGAGAATGAGTCTTCTCCCTTGGCGGATGCCACTGCCAGCATGAACTGACAATCTGCCTGTCCAGGCACGGTTTTTGCAGGAAGCGGTGGCTTTCTCAGAGCATGCAGCATAGTACCGAAGCAAAGTATCTCCTTATAGCTGTGCACTGAACTAGCAACTTGCATTGCAGATTTCGGTCTCCCACAGGAGCTCCATTGCACTGAAAGGGCCTGAGCAAGAGCGAAGGGCCACTTTGGTCCAAGTTCCCTTCTTGTCAGGAAGGCTACATTCCCCGCTTCGCCATGCAGGTGACATCCTCCCACGGAAGAAGAGCCAGTGGCAGGGCCTGGGCCAGCACTAAGTCCCTCAGGTGCCTTCAGGCTTTAGCAGGCCACAACGGTCAGCTGAAAATAATGAGTCCCTTGTTGTATTGCCGGGTCTTGTGCATTCACGTCTGTTGCAAAGAAGCCAGTGAACTTAACGGTTAAAACTGGTGGCTTAATGAATGCATCCTTATACATGTCATTGTTCTCAGATCCTTTGCGCTTCTCTGAATCATAGCCTTGAAGGTTCCTATTGAAGATCATCACACGCAGGTCCAGAATGTCTGTCACCATCAAAGTAAACTTCACGAAAGAAACAAGTCTTGTTCCAAGCATTCCTGGACAGTCTTCCTGATTAATCTGACAGTTTAACACTCGAATGCCCTGGAAACAAAATTATCAGTGTCTTTAGCCAGGATAGTTAAATGAAATGTGTTGAGAGGCAGTGCCCCACAGATTTCCCAATGGTGGGAGGTCAAGGGAGAGGGAAAACAATAGGAAAGATTTTGCCTTTGGGTGCAGACTGTGAGCCTCCTGGTGGGGAACTGGTGGAACACCAACCTTGAGTCATTGGACCCTTGGCCTCATCCAGCCAGACTCTGCTTATTTTCTTAGTGCGTGTCTGTGTGTGGAAATGAAGTTTCATGGTCCAAGTGAAACTTCAAAAAAAGAAAAGTAGCCCCAGTGGCTGGAATTTCTTTCCTGCACCATGATTGTACCCCCAGAATGTCCTGCCAGCGGGAGTGGGCTCTTCTGAGGATAAAGAAGTCATCATGAACAGGAGTCATTTCTAAGATGGTGCAATATAGCCAAAGCTGCTCCCCGGGATGTAGGTGAAATCAAGGATCCACTTTTCCTTCCAAAAGGCTGCTTGTCTCTGTGTCCTGGCTCCATGAAGTGTCTCAGCAGACATATGCAGAAGGCATTCTCTTGCCAAAAAGAATCATCCATGCAGCTCTTTTTGGGTGTCTACCATTTA